ATATTAATGGCTTTTGGGATGTTTCTGTCCCAGAAATGCTAAATTATGTCTTTCTAATGTAGGATAAAAAGGAAAGAGGCAGAAATTAGCTATGCAGCTGTATAATAAGTACATCTGTTATCAAAATATGGGTGTTATAAGTTAAGAGCCTTGCAAATCTGCAGATATCCACTTTATATCCATGGGTATCGGCATACAAATTTTGTACGCATATAGGACACTAAATATATAATCTTGAAATCCATTAAGCAGATTTCTGCTTGTAAAAACTAGCTTCAGGGGGTAGCTGAGTTAGTCTGTACAGGATAAACTTAATAGTCTGGTAGCACTTTAAAGACTAACAAAATATGTAGATAGGATCATGAGCTTTTGTAGGCACAGCCCACTTCTTCAGATGGGCACACAAAAGCTCATGATCCCATCTACATGTTTTATTAGTCTTTAAAGTGCTACCAGACTATTTGGGGGTTTTTTTAAGTTTACTATGCAAAAACTAGGTTGATGTTTGAGTCTTATGGACACACTGGCTATGTCTACACTGGCAGCTTCTTGCGCAAGAACAGTCATTCTTGTGCAAAAACTTGCCTGCTGTCTACACTGCACGCGTGTTCTTGCACAAATAAATTTACAGTATAGTGTTGTAAAACAGGGCTTCTTCTGGAAGAGTTATTCCTCTCCCCATGAGGAATAAGCCTTCTTGCACAAGAGCTCTTCCACAAGAGGGCAGTGTAGACAGGCAATGTGCATTACTTGCGCAAGAAGCTCTTATGGTTAAAATGGCCATCAGCGCTTTCTTGCGCAAAAGATCATCCACACTGCCATGGATGCTCTTGCGCAGAAGCACATCTCTTGTGCAAAAGCACATGCCAGTGCAGAGGTGCTCTTGTGGAAGACTTTTTGCACAAGAACTCTTCTGCAAAACTGTTCTTGTGCAAGAAGCTGCCAGTGTAGACATAGCTACTATGTATAAGACCTATGTGCTGCTGAAATGAAAAATGGACTGAACCGTTCTGATGTTATCCCAGTGATGTTCCATATAAATTGCATACTGATGTTCATTTGTTTCAGTTGCCTGTATGCCTTGGGGAGTAACTAGTACAGGTTGAACCTTTCCAGTCCAGCACACTCTGGTCCGGCTGGATGTCCACTTATCATGGCTGTGACCAAGTTTACTGCATTCCTATAAAGTTTGTTCAATCTCCAGTCCTGACTCTGTGTTCTGTGCTGTTATTTAGCTCTAATTTGCCCCTAAACATCTTCTAAGAGCCCAGGAGGCAGTGGAAGTGTTGGTAATGCTGCTAGACAATATTGACCTCCCATAGTTCGGCAAATTATCTGGTTCAGCACTGGTCAGATCCCAAGGATGCCAGATTAAAGAAGTTCAGCTTGTATAATTTCTGATTTTGCTAGAAGTGCGTGTCAGTGAGGTAGGTTCAGTATTTAATGGATAAATAAAAATATCATACAAGTGAAGGTGGTGATCAGGACCAACATTTTGTTTGGATTGATTCTCCACTGCCTTGCACCTCATATAGTCACTTACTCCTGTACAATGTGGAAGTAAAATATTACCAAATCACTGCACTCTGACACCGTCTACTTTGTCCATTTGTAAATGAATATACAAAGTGCAAGCCAGTGAAGAATCTGGCCGTACAGCTTTTGCTCTGCTTATCCTGAAAGAGGACTTTTTATTTGCTCTGACCCTAAATACTAATTACAGTAACACAGAAATCAATTTCATTTTGATGAACATTGCAAATTGCTGGAAACTGGACAATGAGACATAACATTTCCTTAATGTAAATATGAATTTTAACTTGCACTGCCATCTGTAGGCCACAACATGCACATTTTACCTATATCTTCATTCACCTGTGTGGTTTTTATTCCTGCATTAAATATCCCCCATGAAAGAAGTTTGTGATATGGGCCATTCACTTAAAAGCTCAATGTGCCTGGTGACAAACTGTTGTAATCAAATTCTCCAGATAATTCATAACAGTGAGTTATCTCAAGACTTAATTGCAGATGCTTATAATTTTTGGGGTTTCTCTATTTACATCCATGAAATTTACTCCAGGGATGAATTTGATTCAGTATCTTTAACCAAATCTTAAGCCTCTGAATCAGCAAAATAAATGAGACATGGTAAATAGATATATTTTGCTTTATTATACTCAAAAAATTAAATGAGCCATGTCTACTTTCCCTTAAATCTGTGATAATAAAAAAGTCCTGATTCAGAAGTTGACAGAAAAGCAGGAATCTATTGCTAATAGTTGCTGCTGTTTTCTACCCTACAGGATTACTGTTCTTTGTGCATTCATGAGAAATAGGGATGTAGGCGACCACACGATAACCATAGGTGCTTATTGGGTAGTTAAGCTAGTCACTCACCCCACTCCTTGTATCAGAGGCAGCAAGTGAGACAGCGGGAGTTGGTGCTAGGGGGAGCCAGCTTAAAAGCCAGTCCCCCCCCCCCCCCCCCCCCCCCCCCAGGCAGAGGCACAGCAGGGAAACGGTGTGAGCGGGGCACTAATGTACCGGGGCACTAATTAACCCTGCTCAAGTTTAAGGTGTTATAATGGCAGTGACAATAAAAGAATTCTGAAGCAAGCCAGAAAGGTAGAAATTCTGATTTGTACAACAAAACTCCTAGGCTACATCTAGACTGGCATGATTCTCCGCAAATGCTTTTAACGGAAAAGTTTTCTGTTAAAAGCTTTTGTAAAAAAGAGCGTCTAGATTGGCATGGACGCTTTTCCGCAAAAGCAGTGCTTTTGCGGAAAAACTTGCCAGTCTAGACGCAGCCCTAATGGGCTACTGCTTGTCATTTATGACAATGTAGTTTTATGCTGCAATCTCTCTGTTGTATAGAGCAAACTTGCCCATGGGGGTAATAACCTTACCTCCTGTGGTGACTATACCTATCAAAGGACAAACAGCCCATTGTCAATTGCAAATGGAAAGTCTCTGTTAAAAAATACAGGAAAGGCTTCCAACTGAGACGCATCTGTCCTGAGTTCCTGAAACCTGTGTTTACAGTGCAGTAGCACAATCACTCTGAGGCTGTGTCCAGCCAATTAGCATACCCACATATACTAGACCCAGCTGACAGATAATATAAAAAGCTAGTGGGATCCTTAGTTGCATTCTCATTCTGTTCTTGCTAGCAGGGCATACAGCAACAGAGGATGTGTTCTTCCCTCTTGGCTTGTTTTTATGCCCTCATTTTGTTTTAAGAGTAAAATAGAATGTAATGTTAGTTTCAGCGGGAAGAGGCTATGTACCCCATTTCTGAGCCCAAGATCCCCAAAGAAAATATTTGTCCCACTTCGTTTTGACTTGGAAAAAAACCATTTATATTGTCTTCATACAGGGCAAATTCACTGTATAGATTATGGAAACTTTACATGAAAAATAAGAAATTCAGGAAAACACAAGTAAAAGAAAGCCACTAGGATGAAGGTGATGGCAAATGCATGAAATTAGGCAGAAGAGGAGACTAATGACCATGAGCGTCTTGCTTCCTTGTGTAGCCAAGTCCCTCAAGTCAAGTAAACAAGGAAGAGAACAAGGACCATAGGATCAAATCCTTAATTAAACCCTTGACATAGGATGATGCATGTGGAAAGGCAGGTAATTCAAAACAGCTTCAGTGCAGAAATTACTTTGCAATAAAATATACATGAAAGAGGACAGCACTCAGTTTTGAAATCCGTACCATTTAAGGGAAATGAAAATGAAATGTAGCTCCGCCCTACACTGCACTATTATGGTGATGCCTCTTTTCTTAAATTCAAATGAAGAAAGCACTATGTGGCTTTCAGAACGCAAGCACCGCCTTAGTGGTAAGATAGAGAAACATTCCACCCTAGATTACTATAGTTTTGTTGTTTATATTTAAAACAATGTCATATCTTGAAGTTCTTTGCTTGGTCAAAAATGCCCAATGAATGATATTCAAGTTTTGATTAAGGATTTCTTGATTTGAGCCCACACCTACTTTTAAAATTACTCAAATTATATAACAATTGAATTTTTCAGTAAAACATTGAACCAATTTGTAACAGACTAAAAACAATTTACACAAAAGCTACTTAATGGTATTCAGAAGTATCTGTTCTAGATACAGTTTACTTGACTTTCAAGAAATTCAGATTCATGTATATGCAACTGAGTTCCCCATAAGCTATGTGACCATGCAGTTATGCAGCACCCTTTTTAGTGTCAAAAAGGTGCTCAAGGGACCTTCCTGGCCTGGACCTGCCATAGCTGGAGGAAATGTTCCTGTCCTCCAGTCCCAGCTCAGCCCCACTGTGGGAGAGGTGCCTATCCTGCAGATCTAGCCCAGGTGCTGCTGCAGGGAGAGAAAGGTGAGGAGAGTCCTCTCTCCAGTATAACCCTGGGACAACCTGCCCCCTAAACCCCTCATCCTCAGCCCTACCGCAGAGCCCTCACCCCTCCAACCAAGCCCAGAGGCTGCACCCCACGCCAGAGCCCTCATACTCCTGCACTACAATTTTCTGCCCAGACCTGAGCCCCCTCCCACACTCTGAACTCCTCAGCCTCACCTCTCCCACATGAATTTTGTTATGAGCACCTATATGGAGGTGACATGTCACACGTCACCTCCATATTGGTCCACGTAACAAAATGTATTCCACAGATGTGTGGGGAAAAATTAGAGGGAACACTGCTCATCACCATGCCAGCTAAGTTATAACCTTTTTGTAATCTTGGTAAACAGAGAAATGCAACAAAAGAAACAATATTTATAAGACAAAATAACTACCACCTTTGATCATTAGCATATTTCAGCATCAACAGAGGGAGCACGTCCATTGAAAACCTAAACTTGAGAGTGATTGTCTTTCAAAAAACAAGTCTCTAGAGTACATAAAAATTCTGTTATACAACATCCTGTAGGGTCCCAGTAATTATGTACATACATTTTTGTGTGGGTGTGGAAGATCGACTCCATGAAACTCAGGACATAAAGCTGCTCCTTTAATTTAAAATTTGCCCCAAATGTTTGTCTGAAAAACTGGTCAAATAATAGCGCCCAGAAGTTGTACACACATCAGGTGCGTCCCCAAAACAAAAACTTGCACATGAAAACATGTACACACAGATGATTTTAAGAGTGCAACAGGTATGGGTTTTTTGTTTGTTTGCACTTTTGAATGATGCATAAACTTTTAGTAGCAGACCTAGAAGTCTGTGAATGATTGGGTTCACTCCCCAAACGTTAAGGCTTTAGCAGCTTTCTGTTCGTTATGTAGCTCTTTTGCCCTGTTTTTTAAAGCCTCTGCCTTGGCATCATTCTTATCAATTCCATCTCCAAGTTTGTACATTCGACTGGCATTGGCACATGCCCACGCATGACCCATGTCACACGCTTTCAAAGAGTACTTCAAAGCCAAGTTCATGTCCTTTGGTATCCCAGGTGCTCCTTGAAGATATATCACACTAAGATTGAAGCAACTAGGGACAAAATTGCCATCACATGCTTTAGTGTAATAGTCCCGGGCGAGGACTGGGTCAGGTTTGTCATCATTTATTTGCCCATCGTGTGCTAACAGTCCAACATTGTGGCAAGCATTTATTGATTTCTTCCCACCTTTTTCACAAGATTTCAGAAAGCAGTTGTAGGCAGCTTTCAAATCTTGGGGGAGTCCACCTGCAAGGAAAAAAAAAACCAATCAAATGCAAGTTTATAAAAAGAACATATTCTGATTGTGAGATAGTGAGAAGACTGTTTTCTTTCACAGCTTTTTCAATACTTTTTTGGAAGAATAAAACTATCTATTACTAATCCTAAAACAGTTGTAAAAGTGGACTAAACTTCAGCAGAGAATCAAGAGAGTCTACATTAAACAAGATTTGCCAATCTAGCTATGTCAGCTAACAACCTCTACTGGGGGTACAGTTTATACTTGTTCCATGAACGAAATGACCAACACATTGCTAGTATAACTATGTTTACAATAAAAAAAAGTAACCAAATTTATACTTTCCATATATTGCCAAGCCTTATTTATCCAAAGAGATCGTAATTTAAACAAAACAGGTTTTGGGTAAAAAGAAGACTAAACCTAAGTTTTTGATGCAAGACAAAAAATTTGACCACAATACAGAAATGCTATAATACAGCAAAGGGCAACCTAGGCTAGCGAGTGGGCCGCATGAGTAGCCCTCCATCTCTGTGGGCTGCAAGGTTGTTGTAACCAAAACTGTCTCCCAGCTGGGTTGTTTTGCTAACTGTATTTGCGTACCTAGCATTTGGAGGGTGTACCCACTGAACCTTAGCAGCGCTTTGATTGGATGCAAAGGAAGCGCTTGGTTCTCTCAGTCAATGCGGTGCGCAATCAATATGCACCTCCCGTCACATGACCTTGCTTTATATGCATGTCACTTTAGCAATACTAGTAGGAAAAAAACCTACATGGATGATGAACAGCAATGAGAATGACAAGAAATCTGCGCCTCCTGGTATCGAAGTATTAACTCATAATAAAATATCAAGAAATTCTAAAGCACCTTGTCACAAAAAAAGTACTAGCCTACAAGAACACTGCCCTTTCTTCCAACAGGACGAAAAGAGGAACTGGAGCAATGGCTGTTTCTTACCTTTCCCAGTTGCATAGTAAGCTCCAAGTTTATAGCAACTCTCACAATGCTCATTCTTTTCACAGTTTTCTTTTAGCACCTTAGCAGCTCCTTCAAAGTCCTTCTTCACCCCCTCCAGATAATCAGCTAGTCGATGGCAACCTGTGAGGAAGACAGGGATTGAAGAATAACAGAGAGGTAGCTGTGTTAGTCTGATCTCTGCAAACAAAATAAAGCAGTCATGTAGCACTTTAAAGACTAACAAGATGGTTTATTAGGTGATGAGCTTTCCTGGGGCAGGCCCACTTATTCAGACCATATTCTGAAAGCAAACTGCCATTGCCATTGACAATCTATGTAATCTACTCGCCCGTGGCGAGTAGATTACATCCCGTAAGAGCCGGGTTTGGGCAGGCTGCTGCTCGGGGAGCCCTGGCCATTACCATTATATAACACAGAGATACAATGAAGAAGTAAACAAATTATACAGTAATGAATCAGTTTGAAGAGTTTACAGAGTAGGCTCATGCTAGGCCATTTGGGTGCTTCCCCACCCCCCAAGAACAGGAGACAATTATCGGTCTCTCTCCTACCCTCTCTGACTTGCCCGTTTTCTGTCATACAAACCCACTGGCAGCTTTGAGGTGAGCGCCCAAATGGCCCTGACCCCAGTTTCCCAGGCAGATCCCCCCCAGTGTGCGTGTGCAGGACTGCTAGGCTCACACACCCAGGCCTGCACACACCCCTCTTTGAGCAAGCAGGGCTGGCCTGAAAGGGGCCTGGGGGGGGGGGGAGGGTATTCT